GGGAAATGATGCTGCAGGACTCCTAGGCTGGGTATGGAGGGGATGTCGTCTGCTTATTTGCTAGAGCACTGGTACCTGGGGAACTGGCTTCAATGTGTTGCTCAAAATTCATGTGTTAGAAACTTCATCTCCAAGTGAGTATGTTGATGGTATTTGGAAGTAGGGCTTTTTTTTGGGGGGGGGGGAATTAGGATTAGATGAGGTCATGAGGGGGGGGTTCCTGGGATGGCATTAGTGGCTTTATAGGAAGAAGAAGATAGATCTGAACTAGGGCACTTGCTCTGTGTTGCCCTCCACCATGTTTGTGATGTAGAAGACCATGTGCCTGGACTTCCCAGCCCCCCGAACCATGAGCTGGATCAATCAACGCCCCCTTTCTTTCTCTCTCTCTCTCATAAGTTACCCAGTCTGTGGCATTCAATTATAGCAATTGAAAATAGACAAAGACAGCCATTATGGAAGAAGTCTCAGTACCCTCAAGTCTGCCAGGCTATCAGGAAGCTACACCTTGTGGACAGGCCACATGTCAGTGCTCTGCTCCAGCCCTAGGCTTTCAGTCTCCCAGCACAAGCACGAACAACCCCAGCCTCACGCCATCCCCTCCAGGCTTCCCAGTTGAGGCCCCTGACATGGCGGAACAGAGGCCAGTCATTCCTCTGGTCACCCGGGTCACCCCCTGCTCTGCCTGGCCCAAACCCGTTACCCAGAGAACCCAGGTGCATAATATAACAGTTGTTTTGAGTTGCTAGGGGKAACTTGTTACGTAACAATAACGACAGGAACATAGGGTGGGGAGTGGCTGACCTCTGAGGGTGAGCTTGGCTTCCTCGCTGGGTGGGGAGTGGGAAGAAAATCTGCCTCCCCATGTCCTCTGGATGCCCCACAGCTCTGCTCTGGCCTCACCCTCTAGCCTTTTGGTTAGAGTTTCTCTTATCAGTTTCAGGCTGGTTGTCAATTCCCGGTGCCCATTCCCTCCTGGAAGCAGAGGGTCTTCTGGTGGGGGTGTGCTCCCTCCCTCAGAGCTTTGCCTTCATTTTTTTTTGTGGTGCTGGGGATTGAACCCAGGGCCTTGTGCATGCAAAGCAAGCACTCTACCAACTGAGCTATAACCCCGGCCCAACTTGGCCTTCTTATCAGAGGATCCTGCAGAGTGGGGCATGTGCAGTATCTGGGGAGCACGGATAGCCTTTAGCACGTGCAGGTGAACTGCTTAACCCAGCCCCAGGCCCGTCGTGACCCCCTCACCGCCAGGTGTCCTCTCTGCAGCCTCTGGATGGGACACTGCTCTGGGAAAAGGACTTTGGCATCCTGGCTCTCAGAATTCTTTTCTGAGGGTCCGACTCTGCCTCGAGCTCTTGACTACATTAGGAAATGCCATTCTTCCTATGCAGATGGAGGGTAGGATGGCAGTTAAAGTGATGTGTTGGCACCGCAGACTTTTCACTTGATAACTGTGACAATGGAGATGTTGTCTTGACTTCTCTGAACCTGAGTCCTCTCATTCCTAAAAAGGGCATGATAACAAATAGTCCTAGATTTCTCCAGGGCTGCAGGGAAGACAACAGAGATAATAGCTACGTGTGGCATTTGCTTAGTAGATAGGAATCTTTTATTAAATGTTAGCCAAGCACATCAAGACCAGGGCGGTGGTGGTGAAGTGTCACGMGGCGTTATGACTGAATTTTTTTTTTTTAATAGGTGGAGACAGGCCTGAGGGCACAAAGCTAATAGATGGAAGAGACAYGGTGCTCATTTTGGTCTGTTGTCCTCTGTCCCTGTCTGCAGAGCAGGTGCCTGTGGCTCTGTGGCCCATGCGTGACTTTACAGAGCTCCACGCCCCACCGGGACCACCAGCCAGGCTCAAATCTTGTAGAGCGTGTCACTGTCCTTGGGGCAAGGTGTCAGTGCACTGTGGGGCCCTTTCCATGATGGCCATGACCAGAAACCCACTGTAGCCCTAGAGGGTTGCAGTACAACCCAACTGCCTGTCTTCCAGAGAACGTTTTTTTTTTTTTTTTCTTTTTAACCATTCATCCTGATGGGATCCTAGGGATTTGGCAACTTGCTGCCCTGGCCTTAAACAGGTGTGCCAAGAAGACTTTGATTTATTCTATTTTTAAAAGCCAGCTTTAGCCAGGCACGGTAGCACACGCCTGTCATCCCAGTGGCTGGGGAGGCTGAGACAGGAGGATTGTGGGTTCAAAGCCAGCCTCAGCAAAAGCCAGGCACTAAGCAACTCAGTGAGACCCTGTGTCTAAATAAGATACAAAATAGGGCTGGGGATGTGTTTCAGTGGCTGAACTCCCTGGCACCACCACTCCCCCCCCCCCAAAAAAAAAAAGCCAGCTTTATTGAGATATCAAACACATGTCATATAAATCACCATTTAAAGTGTGTAGTTCTTGGCATTTTGTATAAACATGGAGATGTGCAACCGTCATCACATGTAAATTTAGAACATGTTCATCATCTCACGGAGACACTTGTACCCCTTAGCCATGATCCTCTCCCCCACCCTCCCCTCCACTCTGGCCCTCAGCCGTCTCCGCAGATCTGCCTGTTCTGGACATCTCATTTAAATGGAATCACATGATGTGTGCGACTCTGAGACTGCCTTCTTGGGCTTCCCATATGTTTCCAAGGTTCATTCACATTATGTGAATGTGTCAGAGTGCCATCCCCAAGAGTATTCCTTTGTGTGACCAGACCTTACTTTATTTGGTGGGTGTTTGGGTTGCTCCTACTTTTTGGTTGTTAAGAACAATGCTTTCATAAAAATAAACGGGCCGTGTTTTTGTGTGGACATAGGTTTCCATTTCTCTCCGGTGTATCTTTAGGAGTGGAATTGCCGGGTCAGGTGGTGACTCTCTTTAGCCTTGGGGAACCCATGGACTGTTTCCCGACCAGTCACATTCATTTTCCATTCTCACCAGGCGTGGGTGGGGATTCTGATTTCTCCACCCCCTCACCCACCTGCCTCTTTGATTCTAGCCGACCTTATGGGGTGTGGCGAGGTCCGTCTGTGGTTTTGCTTCTCATTTCCCTGTTGGCTAATGATGTCGTCCACCTTTCCATTTGCTTGCTGGCCTTTGGTATATCTTCTTTGGAGACATGACTGTCTGGGCCTTTGGCTAATTTGTCTCTTGATGGTTGAGTTGTTAGAGTTCTTTGTCTATACCCCATACAAGTCCTTCATGCTGGTTTATCTTTAAGGATGTTTAGGAAATGCCGTTTTATAAATTCCTGGTTCCCAAGCCTAAAGTGCGGAGGGTTGCGCAGGAAGCTATGGGCTTACCCACGAGGCACAGTGGACCGCCCTTGGAGGCAACCACTCACGTTCATTCCTGGTGCTGGTAGGAACAGACAGGGTCCTCCTGGTCCCCTTTCCCTCCCTTTTCAGTAGAGCTGTCTCGAGTGGCATAGAGTGCGGAGACACGGTCATACCTCCTGTGGGATCCTTCACCCCTCACATGCCTTACCTGTCCCCAGGAGCTGGATGTGTTTCCTCCTCCGCCTGCCTCTATCCTAAGAGGGACACTTGGAGAGTAACCCTGGCTTGGCATGACATGGCCCCTGGGTGGCAGCAAAACGGAGACCGAAGTCTCTTAAGATGGGGGCAGTTGACACTCCTGAGTCTCAAACAGAGAAAGGCACATTCTCCTTCTCTCAGGTCGTGGCCGGTGAAGCTGGGTTGGGTGGTCAGATGGTTGCCTGGCTGAAGCCAGGGTGTGATGTCGTGAGATGTGATCCCGCCCTGGGGAGGAAGGAAGGGACAGTGGCCTCTTTTTGTCTCCAACAAGGATCCTGGCAGTAGCCTTCAATGTTTTTTAAGCTCTCATGTTGAGCCAGGCACGGGGCTAAGCATTTTGTATTCCTCATCTCCCTAAACCCTCTCCCTCACTTTATGGGTTACGCACAGTTCATCCTTATTTTCCCAATGGGGAAAGTGAGCCCAGGTAGATTAACCTGCCCACTCTCCCCCAGTTAGCAGGGGGCAGAACTGGGATTAAGGCCTGGGTCCTCGGAGGGCRACACCTGCAGCCGTAAGCTCCTCCTCCTTGGTGCCGAGAGCACCCAGGCTCTTGAGCCAAACTCTCCTGGTACTCATTTCCACAATGTCAATTTCCATAGAGATTTGCATGAGAGTCCTCCAGGACTCACAGGTTTTGGAAGCCTTTGGTCAATGACATCACCCTTCTCTCCATTTCCTTCCCACACAATAGGGAAAACACACCAACGTCACAGGGTGATTGTGAGGGTCAAATGAGATTATGGCCGTGAGAATGATTTGTCAACGCTCAAGTTTGAGAAGTCAGGGATTGTTATTCTTATTACATTGTTCACTGAATTCAGGTCAAATCCTGTCATTAAYGGCCCCAAACCTAGATAACAAGAGTGGCGAGTCTCAGCCAAGAATTTTCGAGTGTTGGCTCACTTCTCCGGAGCGATATTCCAGACAATACAAGTGGGGTTCCACCCAAAGCTTTGGGTGTCGAGCTTTGTACCTGGTTAATCCCAGAATCTCATCCACCTCTCCCCACTCCTTGACTGCCAGCCTGGATCTTGGACCCCCCCAGGTCCCCATTGGTCCCGACTGGTTGAACTGTCTGGACTTTTATCTTCTTGACCTTGACAGGCCTGGTGTGACTCTGGTGGGGCAGAGGCAGGATGTGTTTACCACGGGTATTGGTTGGGCCACTGAAATGTGAGCAGAGTGACAGGCGTCTCCCCATGGGYGGGGCCCAGGTTCCTCTTCCACCTCCCCTTCCCTTGTTAGAGGCCACCTACGGCATGAAGGAGAGCCGCTGGATTCACGTCATGCTCCCTGTGATAAGGTGCTGAGATTTGGGGGCTGGTTTGCGCTGACATTTCCTGGTATCAGGTTTCAAACAGGGGGAGGAGGGAAGTCCCTGTTCCAGGCTTTGCGGCCTGAGTCAAGATCTGGCTTGTGAAAGGGAGAACAGASAGTTGCGTGGAAGGCGCACAGGCCCTGGGACACAACCTGGCTCTGCCATCGCCCCCTGTGTGCCTGGGATGAGCAGACAATAGCCACACTCAGTCATGGAGTTGCTGTGAAGACTGAATGCCTGCTTAGCTCAGTTGTCTAGGTAGGTGACTGCCTGGTACAAGTTAGCCATGTTAACCCCCGCTCATGGCTCYGGAGGGCAGGATTGGGATACTGACTTCAGGGCAGGAAAGGCACTGTCTGTGCTTGTGGCAATTGGAGCCTAGGAAGGTAAGAGAAGACCAGGAGAGAGGGTGTTCTGAGGGTCCTCGGAACTGATCATCTGCCCCACTCACCCACCCATTATCCATCCATCCATCCATCCATCCATCCATCCATCCATCCATCCATCCATCCATCCTTCCACCCACTCAGACTATCCGACAAACTAATAAACAAAACAAAACAAAACCAATAAAAATCCCTCTGAATCTTCAAGTGAGTCTCTAACCAACAGGGAGAGAGCCTGAGGCACTAGGGATATTGGAGAAGCCTTTTTAAGGTCCTGCTGCCTCTCTAATAGGAGCTAGGAAAAAAACAGAAAAGTCTGGACAGGAGCCAAGGCCACTGATCTCTGCACAGGGAGGGGGCAGCGACCGGAAGCCAGGGTCAGATTAAGGGCTTCTCGTGGGGTGATGCTCCCTGGAGGAGGGACCCGAGGGAGGGGTGTGTGAATCTCCACCCCAGGCTCCATGGTCCAGAGGTCTCTGACTTTCCGTCCATCAGACTTCTGGGCTGGTGAGAGGAGAGCAGCCTGGTGCCTTAGTGCCACCCCAGAGCCACAGAGTGGGCYGGGCCACCGAGTCTCTAGGGCAGTGTTTCTGGTACTTTTTTTTAGGAGTGTTAACACCAACGAACAGGGGGGCAAAGACTGGTCAGAGTGCACAGGGTGGGACTTGTCCACACGACAMCCGTTTTCCTTCTGTTTACTGAGCCTCCATCTCTAGCTCCAGGAGGGGCCAGTGACCTGGGCCTGACCAGTCTCAGGATCTGTCCTTGCAGGCCGGCCGCTGTGGCTGGCTCAGGGTGGTCACATGGGCCCAGTGGGATTCCATTTGTGAACTTTTGTTTGAACTCCTGGGGTTATAATCTGTCTTTCCACTGGACTTGCAAATGGGAGGATCTGGATCTGGAGCTTTGGGAAGCTGGAAAGTACAGGGGGGAAATTCTMAGAGTCGGGGCTGAACACAGAAAAACACCGTGTGGCGTGAAAGACAGAGGCCATATCCTGAGGCCTCTGGGTGCGAGCCCYGGATCCAACCCTGCTGGAAGGCTGCTGATACCAGGTCACTGAGGAGCCTCTGAAGAGCATCTTTAGCTCTCTAGACACCATCAGACGGGGAGTCTTGCCACGGGGTGCATGCTCCTTTTCTACCCTTCCTTAGCCACAGTGGACCATGTTCTCAGAACTAGCTTCTGGGCTGCCCTTCTGGGATAGAAAAATGAATGGGACCCGGGCCTCGTCTTCAGAATCACAGTGGATGGGGTGGGGCTGAGRAACAACGAGAGTATCTTGGAGTAAAATGTGCAGAGAGAAATACAAAAACTCAACTTCACGGGAAATTAGAGGAGAAAGAAAGTCCAAATCTCCGAAGGAGAGGAGAGTCCGTGAAGGCTGCCGCGAGGTGGTGTCATCCATTCATGCACTGGACAGGTTTTYGTTGAGCAGCTATTAGGTATCTATCCTGTGCAGGGCACTGGGGACGTAGTGGTGACCAAATCCAGATATGATCCCCGACTCAAGGAGCTGATGGTCGAGTGGACACAGGGACATCAGACTTCTTGAGAGAACCCATGGGCAGGGCAGGAACAGGTGCTACGAGAACAAATGGCACGGGAAGGAGGGCAGGTGGAGCGCGTGTGGTGGGGGGAAGCTCCTCCAGCAGAGGGAACAGCACCTGCCAGAGTTCTGGGGTGGGAGGAGCAGGGTTCTGGGAAGAACAAGGAGACGGAGGAGATGTGGGGAAGGTGGAGATGGAGCCAGGAGGGGGCCCATCTCAGGGCCCTGAAGGCCATCGCTGCCCAAGGAGGTTTGGTCTTTGTCTTTGAACTGGATCTGGATCAATGTGAGAGCAAATGGCCTCCAGGAAGAGGGGCCGGTGGCTCAAAGGCCAGAGGCATGAAAGAGTGTGCATTTTCAGAGAGCGCCCGTGTGGATGTGTGTGCCTGGCGCCAGGGAGTACCGCGGGCCCTGTCGGTGGAAGATCTTGTCTCCCAGCCAGGACCATGATGCTCTGCTGCTGGAGCGTGCCCTGTCCCCCTTCCTGCCCCTGACTGTGGATGACCCAGTCTTAGGACACACCCCCACAGCTTCTGTCCCCTGGGGAATATTCCAGCTAACTACGCTGCAAAACAAGCTACCCCCAAACAGAGTAGCTCAGAACAGCAAGGATTTATCCTCCCTCTGGGCCGTGGGGCTGGGGACCGTGGGCAGGGCTCAGTGCGCTCTGGTTACCGGCTCAGGGGGAAGCTGGCCCGCGATGGGAGGCCCAGGCAGGTGTCACTCACTCGCTGGCACCTGATGCTCTCACACTTGGTCTCCCTCTCTCTCTCCACGGGTCCCTGTCCACTGCGGTCTTGGGCTTCCTCACATCAGGGTGGACCCAGGGAACCAGGACGGATGTCATAGGCCATCGGGGGTGGCTTTTGATAGGTTGCTTCGGCTCTTTGCCTAGGCTCAGTGTGAGTCAAGTGCTGGGCTGTGTTTTTCGATGTGGAGAAAAAGAGCGATTAATTTTACGCCATCACCAATGCTCACAGGACGAACGGTCCGTTTAACTGAGAYCTCAGAACCCACCAGCCTTAACTTCAGCGCTTCTGCACTCAGGTCAGCCGGGCCCACGTGCGTGCCCTGTGCCTGGCTTACTTCAGGTGGTCTTTAAATCATGCCGAGATCATGCCATTTTCCTTATCTACAAAATGAGATGGCCACACTCCCTTCATAGGCTTGTTGTGGAGGTTACTTGAGAGGCCAGCAGGACCGTCCATAAGAGGCAAGGATGGATAATGTTTCCTTTCCCCTCAGGTGCACCTCCATCATCCTGGTGAACAGGACGCCATCATTTGGTCCCTAGTTTCCTGGGAACACTTCCAGAACACTCCATCCACCAGCTCCCCAGAGCTCTGCCTCCCCTGCCCCCCGCAGCCAACGCTCTTCTAGGACCCAAGAAGTGAGTCTTGAAAGACAGAGAGAGAGATGGGTGTTTCCCCTCCAGCCCCAAAGTCATATGCTGGAGTCCTGACCCCCAGCCCCTCAGGAGGTGCCTGAGTGGAAATAGYGCCTCTCAAGAGGTCATGAGATTCAAACAAGGTCAGCAGGGCTGGACGTACTCCAACCCGACTCATGGCCTTCTAAGAGAGGAAGTTTGGACAGAGACACGGACCGCAGAAAGACGTGTGACGCAGGGAGATGGCAGCCACTCACAAGGCCAGGTGGGAGGCGAGGAGCAGAGCTTGCCCGAGCAGGAACTAGTCCTGGCCTCCAGAACTGTGAGATCACGAACTTCTGTTGCTTCAGCCTCTTGTGGCACGAACACACTCACACAGGGTGATAGCAAGAGGAACGGAGGGCACCTAAGTCCACAGGTCCCTGCCACACACCTGGCAGAGGGCTCTGGACACTCATCCCCTCCGCCCAGCAGTCCCTGAGGCTGGGAGAGGGGGCTGTGCTCACCTCTGCTTGGACACACTGATGGAGGGAGGGAGAGAGGCCCTGCGAATAAAGGGCTTTTGTTCCCATCTGTCTTCCCTCTCCTTTGCTGGGATGTGGGTGAATGAATGAATTGTAACATCTCTCAAGTCAGGCTGGAATCAGACTTCCTGGGTTCTCATGTCCTGAATCCAGCACTTCCTCCTGTGCAACTTTGAGATAGTTACTGACCTTCTCTGTGTTTCATCTTCTTCATCACTAAAATGGGAAGACTTAGTGTATTTACCTGATCGGGTTGTTGTGAGATTACAGGACAATGCCCGGGCCCGGAGCAAATGCTGCRATGATTGGAATTACTCCCCCCCTTACAACCTTACTCTTAGCTCCCGAGAGGTTATATGCTAAAGCAGGAATAAGACGTGGTGCATGAAAGAGCCCACAAATGTTAGTTGTTGAATTATTAACTTGGTTCGAGTCTTAGTTCTCCTTCGTTTGAAAGGTCGAGTAGCCTCTGAATTTGACTTTGCCTCTCAGCTTAGCAGCCTCTCCCCACCCATCCCTGCCTCCTGCAGCCAGCGTGCGATCCAATAGTGATTTTGAAATCACCTTTCAAAACTGTAAAGCCCCGTGCCCGGGGCAAATTTGCATATACATCCCCAAGGACGTAATCAGAGCTAGTATTTCAGAGTGCATGTCATTATTTGATGTTCCTTGAAGTGTCTTACATGCATTTCTCATTGAGTCTTTAGTCTTTGAGGGGACACCTGAAGTCCCCACTACATAGGCGAGAAAACTGAGAAGAGAAGTAACCTGCCCAAGGTGACTGACTAGTGTCACATCCCTGGGGTGGGCTTCAATGCTTGTACCCCTGACCTGTCTGCTGTCCGGTAGGACTTCCTGTGCTGATGACATTTCGTAGCTGTCCTGTCAATACCATAGTCCCACTGAGCACTTGAAATGGGCCCATTGAGACCCATAAACTGAGTTTTTAACCTCACTGAAAAAATTTTCTTTGGCCTGGTTTAGTGGCACATGCCACCTAATCCTAGTAACTTGGGAGGCTGAGGCAGGAGGATCTCAAGTTTGAGGTCAGCCTCAGCAATTTAGTGAATAAAATTAAAAAAATAAAAAGGACTGGTGATGTGGCTCAGTGGTTAAGCTCACCTGGGTTCAATTCCTAGTACCAAAAACAAAAACAAAAAAACAAAAAAAGAATTTTTTTTTTTTTTTTTTTGGTGGTACTGGGATTTGTACCCAGGGGTGCTTTTTGTGGTTTTGAGATAGGATCACACTAAGTTGCTGAGGGCCTTGCTAAGGTGCCAGAGCTGGTCTTGAACATGCAATCCTCCTGCCTCAGCCTCTGGAGTGTTTGGAATTACAAACATACATCAGTCTAGACATGTTCCTAACTTTAATGTAATTTTAAAAAAAAATCTATTTATTTATTTATTTAT